TGCTTAATTGATGGGACCAGAGACAGGTGGTCTCCCAGGTTGCTGGGCTTTATGCCATGAAGGGCCTTATAGGTAACAACCAGAACCTTGAATTGACCCAGAATTCACCTGGTAACCAGTGTGGCTCACGGAGCAGTAGCATCACATCAGCATAATGAGGCATGCCCATCACTGCCCACGTCACTGCATTCTGGACCAGCCATCACTTCTGAGTGGACTTCAAGGGCAGCCCCATGCAGAGTGTATAACAGTACTGCATTCGTGAGGTGACCTGGGCATGAGTGACTTGCAGTCCAGGGAAGGGTGTAACTGGCCCCCAGGGGCTGCGAGTCCAAGAGGACCCCCACGTTGCTCAACCCTTGAGAAAAAAGACCTGGGCAAGAGAGTGGGGACCAGGGTGCTCTGCCCCCTAGAAGCCATGCAGGGTCTAGGTTGCCCTGAGTCAGTGCTTGGCATGCTTTTAGTGGCCCCCAAATGGCCACACCTCACTGTTTTGGGGGGCCTGGGGCCTGCAGAGGAGGCGGAGCTCCATTGTCATGGATATAGGGCTTGATGTGAAGGAATGGATTTTCTTTGCTGATATGCTTATTTTAGGTCTTACATTCCTGCTTTTGTCTCTCTCCCCCTCATGGTGGGAAGGTCCTTCTGGAACTCGTCCACCCAGTCCTCAGTATCACCTGTGAAAGCCCCTTCTTGACCTCCCCCTCAACCATCCTTCCTGCTTCCCCTCCTCCCTTCCAGCTTTGTTGCTGAATCCGACCAGGAGAAAGAGGAATGGGTGGAAGCGATGCAGCAGTCTGTTGCTGAGGCCCTCTCCAACTTTGAGGTGGCCGAGAGGATCTGGGCCGTGGAGGACAACTGCTTCTGTGCTGACTGCAGGGCCCCCAAGCCAGACTGGGGCTCCATCAACCTCTGCGTGGTCATCTGCAAGCGATGTGCAGGTACGGGCACCAGGTGGATGGAAGGATGGGAGAGGCCACCTTGGTGGGGGCTAAGATTAGCAAGAAAGAGGGGCAACTTGAATTCCTCGCCATCTACCAGGACTAACCTGTTGGCCCAGCCTTGACTAAGGTACCCTAATCTTGTATTTCACATTAATTAATTAGGTAGAACAGTGTTTCTCAACCTCAACAACTTTAAGATGGGTGGGCTTCAACTCCCAGAATTCTGGGTAAAATGGTCACCTTATTGTGCTGAATACACCTGGCCTCCTCCTTCAACTTGTCTAATCCACCTTCTAAAGTACAGTGTCCATCTTTCACCTCCAGGGATTACTCCTGAAATCACCTAAAATGTGATAGGAGTTGTACGTAACCCATCTTCTCCCTTTTTAGCTGGGCTGACTCACTTGCTAGCTTGTCCCTTGCAGATTTCCAATCAAGCCCCCAATCTAGCCAGGGTGGAAGGAGGAACGCGCTGCTTCCAAGCTTGCTAAGGGGGAACCCAGTCTGCCCGATACCTTCCTGCCCTCTGCCCCTGTGACCAGTCTCTTTTCTCTGGTCCCTGCCAACCTAGGGGAACATCGAGGGCTGGGACCCAGCGTCACCAAAGTGCGGAGTCTCAAGATGGACAAAAAAGTCTGGACGGAGGAGCTGATCGAGGTACCGGTGACGAGGGATGTGCAGGGTGGCCTTCTCTCAGGTGCCCCAGGCAGATGTTCTTTCTTGGGGCAAGGGGGCTCCTAGGAAAAGCCAGATGCTGTGGGCGGCCATGTCTAAGACCTTGACCCTGCCCGTCCTGGAAGCTGCAGAGGCAAGAAGGGGGGTAGACGGAGGGAAGGCCCGAGGAACCCTTCCGGCGTAGCCTGGAGAAGTTGCTGTTGGCAGCGAAGCTCTTTGCATTAACAGGCGGTTCTCTGCTGGCTTTGAGGTTAACCAGCATCCAAGTAAGATTGTGAAAATAGTGGCAGTGATTGCAGGAAGTGTTTCTAGAGCATGGTGGAAACAGGCTGACATCGCTTGAACCCAAACTCGCTTTTCTTCCTCGTTTCCTCTTCTCTTGCATAAGCGGTTGCTGGCTGGCTTCATACGGGGCAACTTTCGCTCTCGTGCGGCTACCTGCCTCTGCCAGCTGCGGTCTCTGCTTCTTTGGGAAATGGGGCTGCTTTTAATCCTTGCTATGGACAAAACCAGCCACGCGGGGGCAGCCTTTGCCCAAAACCGCTGCTCTGAAAACAGCAGGATGGGTGGAAGTTGCAGCTGGCATCAGCCTGTGGGCCTGGGAGGAGCCTTGAAGACTGGGCCCCGGGAGGGTCTCTGGAAGTTTTGGCCAGTCCAGGAAGAGCCAGATGGGCAGACACTGGCTCAGTCGGTCACCAAGGAGCCCCCGGCTCCCCCTGCTCGTGGTGGTGCGGAAGGCAGAGAATTCCTTTGTTCTCCTTTGCTCTTCTGGCATCAAAGGCCCTCTTGGAAATGCGTAGAGACTTGGGGGCAGAGGTTCCCTGGTGTGCCACCCCCCACTTCTGGCTTCAGCAGGCGGCTGGCTGCTCAGCAAAGCTAAGCAGAGCCCGGCTGGCTTGTACTTGGGGGAGAGATTCCAGGAGATCCTGCGACCGTAGACCAGGTGGGGAGGTTTCCATGAAGTCCCCAGGAACCAAGCTGGACTTGAAGGAAACCTTGCAGTAATTGGCTGCTTCTCAAGGCCTCTTATATTAAAGGCTCTGGAAAGAGGAATGCCCGGGGAAACTCAGACCGGCGAAGTCGCTCTCGTGATTCTATTCCAATAGATTCATTTTCCTGCCTTAAATGAAAAGCTCTGAGCCACGCAATTGTAGATGGTAAGCTGGGGTGGGGGGTGGGCAGAAATCAAGACACTCCCCCCCATTCTGGGTACGTCACCCCTGCCGTGGGGGTCACACTGGCTCTGTTTTCTTCAAGGAGGGGTGTTGGATTACAACTCCCATCACCCCCTGCCCCCATTTTTGGATAATGCCTGTTGAGTTGAAAGGAGAATCCCTTTTGATTTGATTTGATTTGATTTGATTTGAATTGGTTTGGTTTGGTTTGGTTTGCGTGACTGCCCGTCTTACCTAAGTGGCTCTGTGCGGCTCACGACAGCGAAAACAACAGTCGGATCAAAACAAGTTACAAATCATGAGCCCACAGCTCTGGATATATGCTGATTGTTCCTTTTTAATTTTGCATATTTTTATGCAGGTATCATGCTGTGAATTGCCTTTAAATCAGGTTCAAATATTCAAATATTCCTATGCGCTACCTTGGGAGGCAGGCAGGCAGGCAGGCAGGCAGGCGGGTGGGCGTGATCTGTTCATTCCCATTTTGCATCCAGGGGCTGAGGCTAAGAGAAAGGAAGGACAATCCCTTCTCACCACATACCCAGAAGAGACCTTTTCCCAGCCTCCGTGGGGACGCTTTGGGTTTCCAGCCCGCTTTGCATGATTCCTGGGGGCTTGGCAACCCCTGGCCAGGGCGGTAAAACAGCACTGGAGTGGGGCACAGATCAGCGGTTCCTCCATGTTGCTGCAGGGCTGGCCTGCCTTGCCTGGCTGCGGCTGAAACGCAGAGGCCTTTGGGCAAGTTCCACCGCCTGGCGAGATCAGCTCTCCTCCGAGACGCGGCTGTTTCTCTCGCTCTCTGGGCCGTTATGGGAACATCTGCCGGGGAGATAATGCCAGGGTTCTCAGGCGGGGTGGGTTGTGCAACTTGCCAGGAAGCCAGAGTGGCTTGCGCCCTCACGGGGTTAGGCCCCTGTTGTCGGCTTCCACGTGTCGCTGCCGCACCCTCCTCTGCTTCTCATCATCCGCTTCCTCCCCCCGACCTTGTCGGCCAGCCTTTGTTTATCCCTTGGTCAGCTTTCTTCTATGAAATTAGCTTTGCCTGCTTGGCTGCGGGCAAGAACGAAGCCAGGATTTAGCGCCGATTTTGGAGTAGTCTGACATTCAGGAGGGGGCTAGTCTGTTTTGTGAACCGGCTGATCCTTTGCACCCACCTGAGTCCTTCGGTGAGGTGGCAGTATTTGTCAGCCACTCAGGAAGTGCCAAGCATGGGGGTCCCAAAAGGCAAGAGAGCGCCTCTTCCAAGTCCTTGTCTGTTTGTCAGCCCTTCGAGGTAGTCCAGACGAGGAAACCCGAACCATGAACACTGACGCTACCTTTTTTGTAAGGTTGCAGTAACAGAATCCTGCAAGCCTGAAAGCGCTCCCCTCCTCCCCTGCCTTCACCTTCCGGAGAACTAGGGAGGGTCAAGTCTGAGAGGCTTCCCACCCCCCACCCCCATTCCTGCTTTGGGCTCAGATTCCTCTTCCCAGACCCTTGTTTAGGCTGCGGCTCTTCCTCCTGTCTCCCAGGGTCGTTCTCGCAGCCCGTTGCCCTTTTGGAGATCTCCTGGCTCAGTTCCAGAATTGGACAGCTGTTCGGTGGAAGGGATGTGGGCAAGGGTGCGGAGGGAGGTGGGGGTGGGGAGGTCAAAACTGAGCAGATCGCAGGTGGAGGGATGCAGTGCGAACCCTGCCTTTCTGAGCGCGTCTCACATGCACCAAAGAGGCAGACTTGCACTGCAGCGCTCTCTCTGCCATCTTGCTGGTTTTGATTTCATCCTCCCCTTATGGATGTTCCTGGATGTGGCACGCCTATCATTTCCTCCTTTACTTACCTGGAATTTTAGGCCCCTTTGGAATCTAAGTGGGTGACGGATTCCCATTTCCAGAAATTCAGTTTGAATCATAATCAGAAAACAATTGCCCGCCTTGGTCCAACCCTCAGTGTGGTGAAGGGCAGCTCCAGGTACGGGAATGTGAGGTCAAGAGCTGCGTTCGGAAGGCCCGTTTAAAGCTTGCAAAGATTCCAGCGTTTCTGCAGGGTGCGAAGGGGGAGGCAAGTCACGGTCTGCAGCGGAGCAAGTGGCAGGCATTGGCCAACCTTGACCGACCTCGAAAAGCTAAGCAGGGCTGGACTTGGTTAGCCTGTGGGGGGGTTGAGCCTGACTCAGAGGAATTCTGGAAGAGGTTGGGAGAGCTTGTTCCAGGGAAACGTTTCCAAAGATGAGGATCTTTGCAGCCTGCCGTCGGGGGACGAGAGGCAGGGAGGAGCAGAGCCTTTGCTGGGAATTTGGAACTTGCAGCCCAGCCCAGCTGGAGGAAGCAGATCCAGGAAGAAAGTGCTTCAAGACTGTAGGGTTCCCAAGTTGTTAGTAGGCTGAGGTCCGTCTTAACCGAGAGGAATCGCTTTGGGCTCTGGGTTGGAATCCGAATCTCGAGGAACGGAGGAGCCGGGCAGTGGGATGGGCTGAAGGGAGGACGTGGGGCTCTGTGCTCAGCCGGTCTCTCCCTCTTGTCTCCCCAGCTCTTCCTCCAGATCGGCAACGCGGTGGCCAACCAGTTCTGGGCCGCCAACGTCCCCCCCAGCGAAGCCATCCACCCCCTGAGCGACAGCCAGGAGCGGCGGCATTTCCTGGTGGCCAAATACCGGGAGGGCAAATACCGCCGGTATCACCCGCTTTTCGGCAATCAGGAGGAGCTCAACAAGGTTGGTGGCTGGGTGGCACGTGGGCTGAAGCTCGTCTGCCTGGGCCTCTGCACGCAAGCCAGTTGGGTTGGGCGTGGGGTCCTGGGGAGCAGGGAGGAGTCGTCTCAAACAGAGCCGTGGCATGGATAGCGCCCACTCAATAATTTTGCCTCTGTTGGCTGAAACAGATTGGCCTTTTGCCTTCTTGGCTCAGGGCCTCTAAACATGTGCAGAGTGTTTTTCCCTTGGGTCTCTAGCTTAAATAGTTGCCTGTAAAGAAAGCCATTATAGACGGACAGACAGACAGACAGATCTATTTGGTGCCTTCGAGTCAGTCTTGACTCCTGGCGACTGCCTGGGCAAGTCTCTGCAGTTTTCTTGGCAAGGTTTTTCGGAAGTGGTTCGCCCCATGACCACCACTAAAAAGTCTGCCAATCTGTCCTTGGAACCTTGGAGACTTAAAATAGCATAATAATCTAGCTGGCCTGGAGAAAACCCAGAAAACCGGTGACGTTTTCGAATCTTTCATTGGCCCCCAAGTTCATGCCCAAAGAATTCTACAGCGAAGGACCCTTTGGGGGGCAGTAGCATGGATTTTGAAAGGTGGGGTGCAAACGCCTCTGTTGAGCCTTGACTCAATATAATATTCCTGTTTTGCATTAATTGCCCCCCCCAAGTTTGCCAGAAAGCGGGCGACAATTTCAACCCCACCCCACAACCATTTTGCTCTTGACCAAAGAATAAAATGTTTTAGAAACAGAAATGGCCCCCCAATATTTCTCCACCCCGGCATATGGCTCTACTGCATTGGGACACCATTGGCTGGAATGTTGTCTGCAGAACTTTCCTTTCAGGTTCGTGTCCAAACGCTTCCACCTTTGAGCCTGTGTGCAGAAACGAGCATGCCCCCCCCCCCCAGTGCTCAGTGCAAGAAACGTGGATGGGTTCGTCCACACTTTAACAGATGATAACATGGCATAAATGTAAGGCTCAGCTAAACTATAGGTTTGAAGCTGTAAATATGGGTCTTTGGCCCCATGTCATAGAAGAAGTCTGGACGTCAGCAAAGATGCCTTTTCTTTTAAGGCAGCATGTCACACTTGCAATTTTATAACTATTTGTATTAAAATATGTAAATTTTTTAAAAAGAGCATTTTCCCTTTTTGGTTGTTTTAGAACAGTGTTTTTCAACGTTGGCCACTTTAAGAGGTGTGGACTTCAACTCCCAAATTCCCCAGCCAGAATTCTGGGAGCTGAAGTCCACACCTCTTAAAGTGGCCAACTTTGAAAAACACTGACTTAGGAGGTGGAAATTTGATTTATTAAGGATTCAGTTCACACCTGAACCCAGGGCCTGCCCAGGCTTTGTAGGGCACGTGGATGAGTGCACTCCGAAGGTGTACCAGCGGAGAACCCATTTTGTAAGGGGGGAGGAGCATCTGCAGGCTTAAAGCGTCTCTTTTCCCCCAAATGTTTAAGTCTGCTTAGATATTCAGTGCCCCAGAAGGATGCTGGTGGGCTACACCTTTGCACCTCTGCTGTGACCCTTATGGGCTGCCCACCTGCCATAGATGGTGAAAAAGAAAAAGAGAAAAAGTAGGGGTGATCCATTTGCCACATCCCCAAAACTGAATAGGAGGCTAAGAATGTCTGCTTGTGCTCCCTCAAAGATTCTCTAAAGAACTGAAAACAACTTAGTAATTAGGAAAGACAAAATTACAATCAGGAGCTGCAGAGCAATCTTTTTTTTTCTTTTGCTGGACAGCATGAAAAAATAAGTAAACAAGCTTTTTCTAAAAAAACTTAAATAATAATAAAGAAGTAAAATTGACAATTGGAAATCAGAGCTTGCAGTTTTGAAAGTTAACAAAGGAAGAAGATTTTAAAAGAAAGAGTATGAAATTATGGCCTAAGGAAGCTTTTTAGACCCTTAGCCTTGGCTTATCTGGCCAGAAGTTCTTGTCACCTGGTTGTAAAAACAGGATTTCCATAAATGGTGGAGCGAAAGAGGAAGTAAGACATGGCTGAAGTGGGTGGATGGAGGAAATTTCTCCCCTGGGCCCTTGCAGAGAGAAAAAACATCCTTTTCTCAAATTCTTACTCCTTCATTTTTGTTGACAAAACCAGTTTAGCAGGAAATTGGAAGAAAATCTCATTTTTGAATGTGGGCTGGCCCCAGATGGGTGAGCCTTTGTTCAGCATTCCAGAAACAACAGTTCTGAAAATGACTTGGATTTGCCTTAGTAAAAATTAACCCGCTGTAGCCAAACGATGCCCCCCCCTCACCCCGCAGTTCAGTCAGCCAGATGGCTGTTCTCCCTCCTCCTCCTCCTCAACCTGATGCCTCTGCGTGCAGTGGACTAAACTCCTGCGATTCCCTTCTAGCCAACCTGAACGCGGGGGTGCGGTGGGGGGTGTCTATAAGTCACAGACAGGCATCAATGTCTTTGGCTTAAAAGAGGTTTTTTGAGGTTCAGATAAGGAACCGGTCAAGTTCATGGATTGAACTTGGCCATTTTCAGGAATGCCCCTGACATGTGCCACCCTGGCCGGATAGCGGAAGGGGAGGAGGGACGGTTGGCGGGAAGCAGCAGTGGAAAGGTGGCCTCTGGACCCCCGAGCAGGGACACGTCTCCGGGGGAGCAGGCTTGGGAAGGGGCAGGCGGGGAGGGTCCCGCAGGAAGGCCAGAGGCTGCGAGGGCGCAAGAGGGTGTGCGGGAGGGCAACGCCGGCCAGGGAGGGAGAGGCTGCCGAGGGGAGGGGAGGCGCTCGGAGGTGGCGCGGCCAGGCTGGGCTTCTGCCGGGCCGCGAGAACGCGGTCCGAGAAGGGTCAGGGAG